ACAGGACAGGCACCTTATAAATGTGAACACTGTGGAAAAATGTTCAGTCTACATAATAATTTCCGGATGCATTTAAGAATACACACGGGGGAGAAGCCTTATGAATGTGAACATTGCGGAAAAAAGTTTAACCGAAATGGTAATTTAAAAGTACATTTGAGGGTTCACACTGGTGAAAAACCTTATGAATGTGAACAGTGTGGAAAGAAATTTAGGGGAAGTGGTCATTTGAAATCACATTTGAATACGCATAGAAAGAGAGTTCAGAAAAATGCTGTGAAGGTACACGTAGAAAAGAAAGTTTATGAATGTGAACATTGCGGAAAGAAGTTTTACCAAAAATGTAATATAAAAGTGCATTTGAGAATTCACACCGGGGAAGCACCTTATGAGTGTGAACGTTGTGGAATGAGATTTAAGCAAAGTTGTAATTTGAAAAAACATTTGGAGAGGCATAAAAAGAGAGATCAGAAAAGTTTTAATTGGAAAAATTATCTGACAGCACACAAACAGGGGACATCTTATGAATGTGAACATTGTGGAAAGAAGTTTAGGCAAAGTAGTGATTTGAAAAAACACTTGAGAATTCACACCGGGGAGAAGCCTTATGTATGTGAACATTGTGGAAGGAAGTTTAGGTTAAATGCTCAATTAAAAACGCATTTGAGGACTCACACTGGGGAGACACCTTATGAATGTGAACAGTGTGGAAAGAAATTTAGGCAAAGCTGTAATTTGAAAAAACATTTGAAGATGCATAGAAACTACGAATGTATACAGTGTAGGTTGAAGTTTAGGACAAGTCATAAGTTAGAAAATCATACAATGCTACACTCAAAAAAGACATCTTATAAATGTGAACAATGTGGGAACAAGTTTAAGTTTAAAAGTTATTTGAAATCACATATTTGTACAGTAGATAAAGGAGGGATGCCTTATGAATGTGAACACTGTGGACGGAAGTTTAAGTTTAAAAGTTATTTGAAAATTCATTTAAGAATCCATGCCGGAAAGAAGCCTTGTGAATGTGAACATTGTGGAAAGAAGTTTAATTTAAAAAGTAGTTTAAAAATTCATTTGAGGATTCACACAGGGGAGAAACCTTATGAATGTGAAC